CTTGAATATTTTAAAAGAAACAAAACATAACATAGTACAAGATATCGTTATTACAGAATTGCCACCATGTAAACTATGTGAAAACAAAATATTATCTGTTAACTTCGAATCATTTACAATACTTTCATGTGGACATATATATCATAGAAAATGTATAGGAAAAAAATTTTTACTTACAACAGAAAACAAATATCCTTTATTTGATTGTAATAAAATCATTGATCCAGTAGTATCTGAACGAAGGTTTTCCAAATCATCATCTTAGTCTAGTGGAACTTCTGCTCTTGCAGAAATGTTAGGCGATAACTTTGGATTAGGTTCTCCAATGGCTGTATTACCATTATTAGGTCAGAAAGACCTCCCACTTCGTGAGACAGAAGATAGTCACAATAATAATCCAATATTAATTAAGAGTAAACCACAGAAAAAGCATGTTAGTGATGCTAGTAATAAGTCATCAAGTAAGAAAGCAAGAAAGCAGTTTAAAAAAGAAGATTCACCTACATTAAAAAAACTTATAAGCGAATTGACTACTGATGCTTCTGAAATCTCAAAAGTTAATGTAACATATAATGAAACTGCTACGAATTTTTTACAGTTCAATGATAATATTACCTATATGGAATCCAAAAATGAAAGCACAAATCAGGAACTAATTCAGTATTATTACTCCTTTGGGGATGGTTTATCAAAGCGCTTAAATTATTATAAAAATTTGAAACACAGAGACTTAGCATCTCAAGCATTAGTTAATGAAGAGGTTCGGGAACAAATTGGTGAAAAAATTTCTAATGATACTCTTCGTAAAAGAACTGAAAAGGCACAGAAAATATATGCTCTTTTTAATAGCCTTTTTAAAGATAGGGGGAAAGAAATGATAGTTCGAATTAAAAAATTTTAGCATCATCTATATCAAAATTAAGTTGGGAGGAGATTGAATACGTAATAGCCAGGATAATTCGTTCTAATTAATATGCTTTGTTATCACATGATTACTGTACCTGTGAACTCGAGTTCACATCTAATATCAAATAAACCAAAAAATATTATTATTATAAGTGAATACTAGTAATAATGATAATGATAAAACGAAAATTTGTTGAAATTCCATATGTAAGTCGAATAATTAACGTTAAATAAAAGTAAAAATAAATGGGTTAACAGTTTGTACGTAAAGCCTTATCGTTATACCGATACTGTTAATGAAAAAAATCTACAGTTATCCCATAGGTAAACATAATAGACATCAAAAATAGCAAAATAATATTTAGGAGCCCAGCGGGACTCTCTTCTTTATTTACCTCAACAGAAAGATCAAATTTTAGTAACGGGTAAAAATGAATTACATACTGTACAATGTTACATAACGGTAACAAGATCGATGAAAAAAATTTGAATGTACAGTACGTACTTGCAGAATAAATTAAAATTCCTTATGAGGCTTACCATTATGCATAATTTATTTGTAAACGGGTCACAAACACAAAGTGCCACACATTGCAGGTTTGTATGATAAAAAATTTTAGCCACGTATAAATTATTTTTTCTTCTGTTAATATATAAAATGATGAAAAATCATAACAATACATATACAAATAAAAAAAGACA